CGATTAACTTACCGTATAGCATACATATACAGTAGTAGACTATATATATATATATATATATATATATATATATATATATATATATTATAGACTATATAGACATTATACTAACTACGTCATGACATTTAGCGCAGTTTTATCATTATTCAATAAGAATTGACAAGACAGCCGGTGTCGCTGACACACGAAGCAGGAACTGAGGAAACACCACAACGAAAAAATATCACAAAATAAAAAAAGCTCACACACACACACGCGCACGCGCGCACACACACACGTTTACCGAATAGCAATTTGCGCCGTAAATATAATAATCTTCTCTTAATTGATAAAATTATCAGTATCTTTAGATAAACGAAAGTGGGACACTTTTAATAACAAATAAATGCAATTAAACGCTAATTATAATACGTTTTTACAACAAGCATATGTGGGTAGAGTCAATAACCACAGAAAAATATTTGTACATATTACTTGTTGCAAAAAACTATGTATAATATTTCAGATAATAACATGAACCTCGGGCTTTCTTTAGCTTTGATTTTATCAGGTGAAACAGAATTATCTGCTTGCATCTTTTACATAGTTGTAGATGAGAACGACACTCGGCAACAGTGAATGGCAAACATCACACTCTATACTGAATACATTTTCGTCCGAATTCAGTTAACAATACGCATAATTTATAAATTACAATAACCTAGCATATAAAAAATCGTAATGGTTTAATCTTGACTGTCCATAAATATGCATTTTATTCACTACTGTGTGGACACATTTAAACAAATCATGAGTAGATGAATATCAAACGATACAACTCTCGTACTGTTAAAAACCTCACTCATTCATGTTAATCGGCAAGTTATCAACCGGTGATAATCAAACTTACAAGAAAAGTAACACTATATAAACCTTCACAGTAATATATAATAAATTAACCACATATAGCATTGTATATATATATATATAATAAGCGCTGGTATATATATATATATATATTACCAGCGTTTATATATATATATATATATATATAATAATAGCCACACGTTATCACGTCATCTGTAGGCACGCCTGCAATGCGCCTTCTGGTGTTGGGCTTTGGGCTGTGGAACACACAACTCCTTCACTCTGTAATGCTTCTGCAGTGCTGGCACCAATGGCAACACACTACATACATGATACATGAAAAAGAAAAAGAAAAAAATCAAGATTATTAGGATGCTCATTATAATATCAATCACCACAGTTAGCACAGTTATCATCACCGTCACCATCATCATCATCATCATCATCATCATCATCATCATCATCATCATCATCATCATCATCATCATCATCATCATCATCTTCATCATCATCATCATCATCATCATCATCACTGCTATTACCCACCATAACGAATATCTTCAATTACCAGCACTGCCAGTACATCCACTATCACGAGTACATGAACATAGATCTTTATTCTATATGCACTCTTATATGCCATATACTATGTATGTCATTTACTATTATATATATACTAGCGGGATACCCGGCGTTGCCCGGGGAAATTAGTGGCGTTACTCAGCTGGTGACCGCTTGGTTGAAAGGAAAATACTCCAAAAAATCAAAATATCTATCTATCCATGCATGCATGCATCCATCCATCCCATTCCATGCCATCCCATCCCATCCCATCCCATATCCCATATCCCATCCCATCTCATCACATTCAGTTGGCATGCGATGGGATGGGATGGGATGGAATGGGATGGAATGGGATATGGGATGGGATGGCATGGCATGGCATGGCATTGGATGGCTCTCATCGCATCCCAGGCCATGCCATGCCATCCCATCCCATCCCATCCCATCGCACCGCATCCCACCCTATCCCATGTCATCCCATGCCATGCCATCCCATGCCATCCCATCCCATCGCATGCCATGCCATCCCATCCCATCCCATCGCACCGCATCCCACCCTATCCCATGTCATCCCATGCCATGCCATCCCATGCCATCCCATCCCATCGCATGCCATGATGGCATCCCATCCCATCCCATCCCATCACAACAGTAAAAAATAATAAGAAATCAAAAGATAAAAGTCATTAAAATAAAAAAGTTAAAAATTATAAATAATAAAACGAAATTATATAGAAAATATAATAATATTTTATATGTAACCTACATAGGCTTCCGTTAAGTGTTCCCGCCAGTTTGCGCTATCATTATCATCAAGAGCTAATAAAAGGTATTATTAGCTCTTGTTATCCTCTACCATAGTTTATTCTGGATTTTTACTAAACGTTTAAATGTGGTAAACAAATTTAAATTTTGAAATTAACGATGAATACGGCAGAAGTACATACTAAACAGTTCAAAAGTAAAGACAAAAAGAATTTCCCGAGGTGGGATTCGAACCAAGAATGAATGATTTAGGAGTATGACGCTTTATGCATTCGGCTACTGGGACGTTATGGTTATACACCATGGATTCACACGTAGGTGATGTATAATGTAGGGTCCCTATATACAGAGAGTTGCGACAACCCAGGATTTGACGCCATGTTGTTTCCAAATGGATCCACACCGCTGCCGCTATATGGATACAGCGCTGTATGAATACGCTGTACAATGGTCCG